GACCAATTTTGACCCGAATTTTCACAGGTCCGCAACCATGAAGATGACACGCTGTCAAATAACTGAAATACTGTATAATCCAAACTCACTCACTCAGACGATGAATTTGGCTTTCTTAATTTGATATCCTATGTGATATGCACGGATGTTTGATGCCGGTATCTACCTATTGAAAGAGGTCAGTTTTAAAACGATACAAAGTTATGTGTAACGTCACGATGAAGACCCCGGTCGAATCCCAACAAGGATGGGTACAATGTGTGAAGCCCTTTTCTGTTGTCCCCTGCCCTGATATTGCTGGAATATTGCTCACTCACTCACACTCACTCACTCACTCACTCACAATGCTTGTCTTATTGTGCTCACATTTGGGAATGTGTAAACATATGAAACAATAAAAAGGTATTTTGCTTTAACGATTCGTATTCTATTCATATGGTATCTCAGGGTGCTGGAACTATAAAACGGACTGAAGTCCGAACTGGTCCACGTCGCATTTTAGTGCAGGCATATTCACATACATCGCATATCTGGCAACTGGCTCAATGGCGCTGTGTCTGTCTAAGTGTCCACCCGCGTCGATATCTGGTTTGAAATTGTTAAGTACAAAAACACTTGAACGCGAACAACAGGCTGAACCGCCTGTTGTATGTATGTTTATTTCCGAACAGGGTTTAAGAATCATACATGGGATTTGTTATATGGGGTTAGTTTCTGCCATACACGATCTTTTTTCAGCAACATTAAATCCCGAAAACAGATACTCAAATATGACTTTAAAATACTTTTCAAACTGAACATTCGTGTTACCTTGCTGTTGTACCACTGCTGTAATTTTAAAATACATGAGAGGGGGAAAATGAAGGACCCCAGAAACGTCCGACTAAAATATCCCCAGAGATGTGAAATGTAAGCCCAGTGTTAAATGGTTATGTGTTAATATATTGTGTTGAAACTCGTAGCGATTTGTAATTTATTGCCTAAAAATGACGGCAAACGGACGTACAACCTCCAAAACCAGCCCGTAAAATAGTGAAAAAACACCCAGTTGCACACAAGAGAGCCGTTATGTAAACAAACGCACGCGCGTGTATTTGAATCTTTTACCGTTCATGACATTATTCTTAATCAAAACTTCGCATTAGGCAATACAATTTTGTTAACTATGTTCTTTGTACTGTCAATATGACGATACATATTTTCATGATTTTTTAAACAATCATATAATGCCATAAACGATTTTAGTACTTGGGATTATGTATATCGAAGCACCGAGACGGGGACCAGTCTCTTTGGAGGTGACAGAAAGGGGCGAGTGGTGAAGAATGGACGACAAAGGTGTGTAAAATGTGGATATACATATACACATCGGACAGTCACAGTGAACATCAAAGATATAATATTCAATGTTACCTGAATAGCAGCTCAAGAGAGACCTACCCACAGGACATAACTGGCGTGACTGCCAGTTGAAATGTGCGCTAGGCAATAGAGTAGCCTCCCTTGAATACTGCCTCGCGATAGCAGTTAGTGAACGAAGCGTTGTAAAATATCAATGTGACAACACGTAGAGGGAGTATGTGTTATCAATATTCCAGCAATATCACGGCGGAGGACACCAGAAATGAGCCTTACACATTGTACCCATGTGGCGAATTGAACCCGGGTTTACGGCATGACGAGCGAACGCTTTAACCATTTAACCAGCAGAGGAACATTTGCGCAATCAGAGCAAATGAACATTTGCGTGTGTCAGAACAAATGTGTGTGTGTGTGTGTGTGTGTGTGTGTGTATGTCTCTGTGTGTGTGTGTGTGTGTGTGTGTGTGTGTGTGTGTGTCTCTCTCTCTCTCTCTCTCTCTCTCTCTCTCTCTCTCTCTCTCTCTCTCTCTCTCTCTCTCTCTCTCTCTCTCTCTCTCTCTCTCTCTCTCTCTCTCTCTCTCTCTCTCTCTCTCTCTCTGTGTGTGTGTGTGTGTGTGTGTGTGTGTGTGTGTGTGTGTGTGTGTGTGTGTGTGTGTGTGTGTGTGTGCATGCATGCATGCAGAGCTACAGATAACTTTTTGGGTCATTGAGTTATGTACTCGCTTGTGTTAATCTCAATTGGGGGTTCGATCCCCGACCGCGTCATACCAAAAGACGTTAAAATATGGTACTTGTTGGTCCCTGCCTGGCGCTCGGCATTAATGGGTACAACAAGGACTGGTCGGCTCGGAGTCAGTATAATGTGTCTGAGTCGGGTATTCATTCTTCACTGCGGCGTGGTATCTCAGTGGGCTAGCTCTATAAAACCAGCTTAAGTCTGGGCTAGTACAAGCAAGCCGCACATACACATACACACGCATGCACGTCGTCATATGAGCGAAATATTCTCAAGCACGACGTTAAACCCAATTTCACCTCACCTCAATTGGGTATCCTAATTTTCCTTTGAGTAACCAAATAAATTGTTGCCCAGCTCACTCAAAATCAATTGGGTATTTTGCCATTTTCCATTAATTGTAAAAACATATTTCAAATTTAGATGTTGGTTTACGTGTTTGTTATATATATATAGTTGATCTGTAATTACAGTAACGATAAGAAAGACTGCAAGTTTCCAAGTTCTGTGCTGAAATAGAACCTCTCTATATCCCCTCAGTTATATTCTCTATCTACTGGTAAAAATACGAAATATCGGAAGAATTGCTTTGCTTCAACTCGTCAGTTCCAGCAGTTATACGTGTTAGATGTCCATGGATGGATGCATCCGTGCAAGTATGCATTAAAAGACACATACAAACATGTAATATCACAGTCCTGGCCCCTCTCCAGTACATGCAGGTGCGTGTTGCCTTTGAGGACTGAAAACAACATGGCTACCGACTGAGTATCAAACCACTGACAGAACGTGATCCTGGCCGGAGGACCTGCTTTACCCAGTGTATCAGTGTATATATGTGGTATATATACCAACTGTTCTATATATACGCACCATGTGGTTGGGTGCTCCGCGCTGGGTTTGGGTGTGTCCTAGGCTCTATGCTTTCAGCACCCTTTCAGCTACATCGCGACCTACAATACAAGATGTGCACAAGCAGCATAAACGGCAACTGTGAAAGATGATTATGATGCAAAATGGATTATACTCCATGTTGCCGTACCTGGGGTGTCGTGGTGCTGACCAGTGGGATGTCCGACTGTCTGGTGTCCAGGAAACTATTAAGTGTTGGTGCTACCAGAAAGTTCCTCAATACTGTAGGTAATTCCTGTCCTTGTTCCATGGAGGTACCCGTCAAGATCCGGGTTAGAATTGATCTTCAGTAACCCATGCTTGTCGTAAGAGGCGACTAACAGGATCGGGTGGTCAGGCTCACTGACTTGGTTGACACATCTCATCGTATCCCAGTTGCGTAGATCGATGCCCATGCTGTTAATCACTGGATTATCTGGCACACTTGATTATTTACAGAACGCCGCCATATAGCTGGAATAATACTGAGTGGGTCGTTAAACAACAACCAAACCAAACCCATGGAGGTATTGGATCCGAATCTTTGATTTGGGCAGGAAGCAGCTACAAAAAAAGTCCACAACATAGAAGCTACAATACCTTTACATGAGAAGTGCGTGGGGTGGATGACCTTATTAGCAGTATTAAATACATACAACGATGGAGGTGTTGGGAATGCTCCTCTTATTGTCTCACTTAATATTAAAAGCTTGTTATATTTGACTTCAGATGTTACCCCAATCTCCCTCTTAAGAGTGGGTTGACTTTAAAGTTTTTGAACAGCGTTTCAGTTTTATCACGGCGTGTCAAGCTGATGCAGTGAAAAACGCCTGATATTTACCAATTTAGAAAAACTCGCGAGCACTGGTAAGGTGCTGACAAACCTAGAAATAACTAGACACGCCCCTCTATACCTAAGACAATTATAACTTCGATCATCAGAAAACCATTTATTTGTGAAATAGGTCATTCAAATTGTCAATACTACAGCAATAGCAGCCGGGCTGAATTAAAATATATACACTTTGTTCTATCAATGCTTACTTTCAGGTAAATATACTAGTCATATAACTCTTATCGAGTGAAAAACTCTCAAGAGCTCGATTCAGCACATGGGCACAATGTGTAAAGCCCATTTATGGTGTCCCCCACCCTGATATCGCAGGATTATTGCTAAAAGCGGCGTAAAACCATACTCATTCATTCTCAAGAGCCTTCTACCTTTTCTTAATTCTCAATGACATCATCAGCTGTTATCTTCTCGAAGAAGTGAAAGTTTACCGTATAACATAAGCTAATGGCGTTTTGTCTTGTTCTCAAGGGTGTATGCTTCCGGTCGTGTCAATGTTGGTATTAGCAATGGCTAACTGTCTTCCGCTTCCGGTAGCTATAACCATGCTGTGTGGAGCTGTTGGATTGGTAGGATTCGCTGTTGGAGGCAATCTTAACTTCGCCGTAAAATACGCCGACATCGCACTGCAATTCTCTGGGACACTTAGTGGTCTCGGGAACTGCATCAGCAGCATTACTGGGATCATTGCCCCTTACATCGTGTCGTCCATAACGGTTAATGTAAGTCGACACCAAACGAAACAAATCTTCGATCATACAGATATCATATAATATATGTGATTCACAGATCTAAAGAAGAGCTGCTGTGAGCACTGTTTACTCATGTATGGTTCATTGCCCCTGGGATCCGAGAGTCATGGGCTTGAATCCCGATTTGGTATAACAGCACCTGTTCCAGTGTTGAAAATGTTGTATCGGCAGAGATTTCTTTAGACTTTGGGGGTGTTTTCACCGGATTTTCTGATATCCAGTTTGTTCATATGTGTCTGAGAGTGTTTTGGTGACTGATCATCTCAATCAGGAAGATAGCATGGAATGGGATTTTAAACTTTATATTATCCATACATAGGAAAATTATCTCATGCATGGAAAATATCTCTATCATATGACCAACATTTAAACGGCCACTGACTTTGCAAAACACAATACAAACAATTGCGATGGTTTCTTCTTTTTACTGACAATTTCTCTCGAAACGTAACACGATTGTATCAACATATGAAATGGTAATCTGCAAGTGTACCATAAAACATGTAAAGGTGTACCATCTTTAATGACAATATGTCTCAAAGAAACTGTATATTAACTTTTTCAATCAGTTTAACATGTATCACGACAATAAAGTAGTATTGTTTTACTGTTGTGTTAAAGCGATGGGGTGAAATCTTATACACAAAATGGGTTAACGTACATTTAACAGATCTGAACACAATCAATATCAATACACAAACAAAAATAAAAACATTACTCAAAATAGATTTCCTCCTTTTCTCAATTTTAGTACCACGGAAAATATGGATCTTCGATTTTATCAGTGTTTACGGTTAGGTTCCACAAATTGCAATAAGTTCTTCAGAAATCAAGTGAATTATGTTGGATTATGTTATAGTCCGTTTGGCTCAAAAGCGGACCGATGAATGCAATCTAACTCGAAAACTAATACACATGTAATACTCAGTGAAACACTGATCATAATCAAAACATCAGACCAACTCTGTGATTTTTGGCAGAATTCATGTCCGAAAAATAAAGATGTTGTTTAACAAACTATCATTAAAATTTTGCTTCACGTACACCAAGCTGTTCCTTTCTTTGCACTCCTCCCTCGTAACAAATAGTGAACTGTGTAAAAAGTTTAATGATAGTTTGTTAAACAACTTATTTTAAGTGTCGCTGCAAAAGGGGTTGTTTACACAAAAGTACGAATAGAAAAATGCAACATCTACAATACAAGCAAGCTATGTTTATAGAGCTGCTGCTATATTGCATGAATATGATTCACATGTCATCAGTATGAAGAAATAGGCAAAATAACTGGGGATACACGTGCTTCATAAGTTATAAACTTATTAGAAAGAAGCCGTATCCTACAACATCAGGAACAACGGTTTCGTAGTATAATAATGGCGTCTTCAATTTCCAATAAATTAAATTAAAACGTAACGTTGATCTATAACAAAAAGATTCATCAAATAAGTGCTTTTACTATAAACTTTTCAAAACTCATTTCAGTACAGAAGACTACTTAAGTAATACAATATACCTGTTAAAAAAATTAGGATAGCGTTGTCTCGTATCCTTTGTTCATCCCATGATCTCCTTGTTAAAACTGGCCGTTACACAAACATCAACCGTGATAAAAGAATTTGCAAACTATGTAACTTAGAATTGATTGAGGATGAATACCACGTTTTACTTGTTTGTCCATTATACTTATCATTTAGAGAAAAATATATCCCAGCATATTATGATAATTACCCAAACTCCACTAAATTTACACTGTTGTTAACAAACCCAAATGTAAAAATACTTAAGGATTTATCAGTATTTATATATTGTGCCTTTTCTTGCAGGAATAATTGGATAAATGAAAATAAATAAATAAATTAATTAATTAATAACTACACAGGGTATGGTTAAATGTAAGTATGTATATGTTCCATGAAGTTTTATATTGTGTATATATAATGGACTGTGCTATAGGCCCGTGGCCTTGTGAGTACTGAAAAAAAGAATGTCAAAAAGATTCCTGGGCAGTCAAGTGAAAGTGAAACGAAAGCAAAGGTAACAATCGGCTCTAACAAAACTATCGTCAACAATATCAACCATATCAAACAAACATTTTTTATTAACAATAGAATAACTAATCCTATTCATATCGTCTGCCTTGACTCAGAAGTTGAACATAAGTATTCCGATTGAAGGAAGATTTCGAACCTTGACTTCTTCCGCTATATCATCTCTGATATATAAAAATGTCTTCTTCTGGAATCCTCTCCAGGTCTATGCGACCTTCTCTCCTCACCTTTTCTCTCTTATACATTTGTATTATCAGAGAGTAGATAAGTAAATCAACAAATAAACCAGCGACGTTCTACATCTGTCACACAAAACCTGGGCTCATCAAAACAGACTTGTCTCACGAATGTAAATTTTCTTCTGCAGGGAACGCGACAGGAATGACAGAATGCGTTTTTCACCGGATTTGGGTCGTTTTCTCTGGCTGCCCTCATTTTTCTGTTTTTTCGGGAGTGGAGACATTCAGCCATGGGCCAAACATGAATCTATTACAAAAGAAATCCGATCGGCGTCTGATACAACCCTACCAGACAAGGACACAGACACAGAGCAGCCATGTGCTTGATACACATAGTGTTGGTGCTTGAAGTGTCATATAAGCCAAACCAAGTACTTGTTTGTGTCATACTGGTGTCTGTTTCATGTTCATATTTGTTTCATTACCCCATCGACGCCAAAATGATACAAGAAGTGTTCAATGGTCAAACGGATCAAGGGACAAAGGGTTTCATGGAGATAGCAACCGTTACTATCTTGAATCAATTACAACCTGGATCTTGGTTTGATTATACAACTGACTATTCATTCGATTAATTTCAAAACCAATACGTTTTGGTCAAGATGCATTCTAAGGCTGTGATATTGACTTTAGGTGACTTATCACAACTCATATGATCAACATGCGATTAACACTTATCATATGCGAGCCAACGTATTATATATCTTTCTATCATTTTGTTTAATTCTTTTTGAGGGCTGAGGATCATGCATTCACATGTCAGATAGATTTATAGTCAGCACAGATTCACATTTCTATCCTCATTAACAGAACGAATCACAAAGAAACAATAATATCCTGAACCAAACCCACAGCAACTCAATTGATTATTAAATATACTTTCAAACAAATCCCCTGTAGCAAGTTCTATTTTCCTCGAAAACAGCAGATAAGATTTCTTTGCCAATTATGCACAAAACGTCATGAGTCAGTCATGTATAATCTCTGCACATATTTAACATTTAGGCAAATGTCCAAAAAACAGGTGCACTTCCTGTGATTGTGATGTCTACCAGTGTTAACGTTGAGCACGGAAGTAGTGATTGTAGCCACGGTATCGCTCCCCTACAGCACACATATGGCTGGCGTCTTCGAGAAGCTTCTTCTTCCAGTCTTCCATCTGTAGATCCGGTCCACTCACGAGTTTCATTTCAACTCTGATTGAGTTATCATAAACCGCAAATACAGGCCACATATTCTTGTTGTATCCAGCACCACGTTGTGACTCGTTGTCAACAATACACCCCGATTCCAACACTTCTCTTTTGTTGGTGTCCAGGAAGGATACCGCCATCTTGTCAGTATCAACAAGAACTCCGTACTTTAATGTCACAGATGTCCCTGCCTTGTTCTCAAACACTTTAGCTGTTGCTGCATTCTTTCCATTAATAGCTATAGACCTCATCACATCATTCTCACCATTTGATATGTGCAGACTGCATGAATTAGGCTGACCGCCGATATAATGACTACTGTCCATGACATCCTCTCCACACACCCCGACCTCCAACACAAGCTCTAGATCACCCAGAGGCTTGTCCAGTTCCACATCCGCCTCCACCTCCCAGTACACCAGGCCGCTAGAGGGCAGTGGGGAGATGCTGCAGGTGCCGCAGTAGTTCTTCAACATCTTCCCACTAGTGCCCACTCTTCTCCATTGAGGATGTTTTGTGTTGATGAGAAGGCCTTTGTCATTAATGTGTGTTCTGTTCAGGTTTACTCTGTCGGAATCAAACATCATCTTTGGACCTGTCAGAGGATGAAACAAAATACACTGTTTATAGATAACGGCTAATATCTATCATACATGGCGCCTATTTTGACTTTGATATTAAATGATATGGCTCTTCTGTGGTTTAGGTCCTACTTATCAAACAGGACTCAATCTGTTGCTGTTCGTAATGCTCAGTCGGTGGAAGCTATTATTCTTTTTGTGGTGTACCACAGGGATCGGTTCTCGGTCCTGTATTGTTCTCTATGTATACCAAAGAACTTGGTGACCTGCTTTGTGAGAAAGCCACTAATCATCATCTTTATGCTGACGATACTCAGTTGTTTGATGGTATTACCATGGGCTATGACAACAGTTCTGGCTTGACCAGAATTGAAGATGCCATTGACCATATTGGTTCATGGATGTTCAATAACAAACTAAAATTAAATGAACACAAGACAGAGGGTATGATTGTTGGCACAAGAAACATGTTAGTAAAATCACAACATGTTGAGTTGAAAGTTGGAAACATGGTCATTCAGCCTTCTCTACATGTCAGAAATCTTGGCGTCCTACTCCAACCTGACCTCTCCATGAAGAAACAGATTCTGGATCTGTGCAGAAAATGTTACTTCCATCTCCGTAACATTGGACAGATCAGACATCTCCTGTCACAGGATGCTGCGGCTGCCCTGGTGAGAACACTGATTCTCTCACGACTTGACTATTGCAACAGCTTGTTGGTTGCAGCTTCACAGAGTCCATCCAAAAGCTCCAACAAATCCAGAACACAGCTGCCCGCATAGTTACTCTCCAACCAAAACGCTGCCACATCACTCCCATCCTGTTGTCTCTTCACTGGTTGCCTATTGAGGCTCGCATTGACTATAATATCCTTACACTTGCTTATCAATCCATTCATGGTATTGCACCAGTGTATCTTCAAGAACTCCTCTCTCCTTACATGCCAACAAGAACCCTGCGTTCATCCTCGGCTAATCTGCTCTATGTACCAAAGTGGAACCTAAAATCGTTTGGCTGCAAGTCTTATCAGAACATGGCATCAGTCAAATGGAATTCCCTCCCTGATGAACTTAAGCTGTCTCCAACCCTTGAAAACTTTAAGTGCCATCTCAAAACCTTTCTTTACAAAAAGTTCTATGGACTTTAATAATGCCTTATTGATTGTTAGCGCTATGAGCATACCTGGTGTGGAGTTTGGCGCTATATAAATGGACACATTATTATTATTATTACTTTGTTGATGGAAAACCCTCCAAGACATTTCCGGACCCTGCGTCTGCACTACCTCATGAACAAAATGAAAATCCAAAGACAGTAAGACCACGACCCAAACCACGCTTGCCATTTATGGGGGACGGAAAAAGGAAAGTTCTTCTTGAAACACACAGGTAAAACATTGTTGCCTTTATACTTATTGCTCACAAAACACGACAAAACCATTGAAATATAAAAATCAAACCAGTCCTTGTTTATTCTGAGAGTATCACAGAAAGTTAGTAAAGGTAATGTCACACATTTAGATCCTTGCTAATATTTCATACAGAAAAGATGACTTCTCAAATATAGAGATAATGTATGAATCAGATGGTCCAATATCCACATAGAACTAGTCCATTCATACTGGTCATTTCTCTGAGGAGCACAGTGTTTCAGAATATATTCTTACTCCTTCATCAGCTGGGAGACGAATAAAACTAGGAAGCAGATGGCAATATTACATGTGAAACAACAACAGTGATATGATGTCAACTGTGGGCACTTAACAAGTGAAGCCAAAAGTTATTTATCGCTGAATTGTAATAGCAATAAACACATATATTAGAAAAGTTAATCCAGGCATAAATAGTCCTGATAGGTAATCAAGAAGTTATAGGAAATCGACAAAGATGGTAACCATTTAAAGGCTCTAACACATTTGAGGTTCAGGTATAAGATAATTTGGTCTTCATCTTCTTTTTCAGATGTAATCATGATACAGATATTTCTGATTCACCAAATCAGATGGATATGGAACTTCCAGAGCCTACTACCATGCAGCAGGAATCTGATATTCTTGTCCAACAAAGTGACACCATCGATAATTTTTTATGAAGTTTGTTTCCCTGCAAAGTATGGTTTGAAGTGATTGACATATGTTTGTGACAGAGTTTCAAGCAGAGTCCTGAAGGTATTCCTATCTGGATATATTCTGTTCAATGTTACAGTCTTGTCTGGTGTAGGTTACAAAGTCACAAAATGGTGCCCCAGTTACAAGTAGTTGGCCCTGTACCTGATACCAATGCCTATCACCTCTCTTCAAGTTGTAATATTTTCCTTCTTTTTTCCAAAAGAAACCAGTCGTACAGGAGGCTTCATTAATGGTCAAGTCCCTTACAGCATAAGGACACTTAATTTCCACAATACCAGAAACAGAAGTGTCAGACACTATAGCATCAGGGGTGGCTCCTATAAATGGAATAGATGGGTTTACAACAAAGCCAATGTCATGAAGATGATTTTGATTTTTTTTCATCTACATTTGTTTAGCTATTTTCTCATTAGAATTCACATAAGTTGTTGGATTGGAGGAAAATTTCTTTTTGTCAAAGGTGTTTCTGATAAATGTGTCAATGATTTGTTTTTTTTGCGATTCATAAGCAGACCAAAGTTTGAAGCAGTAATTCGCCCTTTCCTCGCTTTGTACCACAAATCAGACTTGCTTTGAGATCTTGTATTTTTTTCTAAATTATGGGACTCATCAACTGAAAGTTCTAAATCTTTCCACTGATGTTTTAAAGTTGCAATTGAATCCAGTTCGGGTAAGTTGTCATCTTTTGGAAATGTGATATCTCCGCTCCTGTCCTCCATCTTTGGACCCACTATTGGTCTAATTAAGGGTGCCTGTAAAGAGAAGAAGCCAATTTATTCACACTTAGTTTCATACAAGGGAGGTAATAAGGCTGTTTTACTTCTTAACTCAAATTGAAACAAGTATGTTGTGGGTGCTATGTGTTCATTCTTAACTTATTCTTTTGTGTGCAAAGCATTTTTTAAACATTACAACAAGTCAGATTGATAATAGGTAAGTCTGTTTCAGGCCTAATAATGAGTTTGGTGCCCTAAACTAGCCAGATCATATCTTCTCTGTAGAATGTATTATTGCTTTAAACAGCTGTAATTGCTTTTACAGGTCCTCTGCCACTGGATATGCTGGCTCTAGCTGCAGAGAACAAGCAACTCAAAGAAGATATGGCCAAACTGATCCTAGAAAGGAGGAGCTCATGCGTGCCAGCAGATCAACACCAAAATTAGTGCTAAAATGTTAAGCATGATGTGTATTCTTTTTGTAAAAATATAGAGAAAAAAGATTACAAGTATTACACAGGATTTCCTTACGAACAGTTTCAGAAAATATTTAAATTTGTTGTCCCTGGCAATGCTGATGATGAACCTTTTCAATTTACCAGAACAGTTAGCAGTTTGAAGTGTATGGGTATTAAAGACCAGCTTTTGCTTGTTCTGATTAAACTTAGACAGAATTTTGATTTTAAACATCTCTCAAAGTTGTTTCTGATATCACCCCAAGATTGCAGTACTGCGTTTTCAAATTGGATAAATTACTTATATTACAGGTTTGGATCTGTATCAATTTGGCCTCACCGTGATGTTTTGCAGCAACATATGCCTTCAAAATTTCGCCAGGAATTTCCGAACACTTTCAGTATCATTGATGGAACAGAAATAAAAATTCAGAGACCCTCTTCACTGACAAGGCAAAGTCAAGCATATTCAGATTACAAATCAAGTACTACCCTGAAAGGTCTCATTGGTGTGGACCCAAGAGGTTCAATTACATCCATATCAATGCTGTTTTCTGGGGCAGTATCAGACAAAGAATTAACTGAAAAAAGTGGTTATCTGTCCCTCCTCAGAGAAATGGTTAAGTGTGGGAAACTTAAAGTGGGAGATGGTCTGATGGCAGACAAGGGCTTTAATATTGAAAAGGAAATAAGGGCCACTGGATTACGCCTCAACATTCCCCCTTTTGCACCAGGTATAGGTCAGATGTGTGTGTCTGATGTGGCAGAAACAGTGAAAATTGCAACACACAGAGTGGTGGTCGAAAATGCCATTGGAAGGGTAAAACAATTCAAAATTGTTGGTACAAAATTGCATTTAAGTTTGTTTTCCTCAGTAAATCAAATTTGGTTTGTGTGCTGTTTCTTGACCAATTTTATGCCATATTTAATTCAAGAAAAAGATTAATTACTTGATGTCCAAGAGTTGATCCAACAACCTGAGGACCTATTGGTGTGTCAAATGTCTGACTGGTGCTGGTACGTATAAATGTATCTGTCAGGTATGAAATTGGGAATCTCTTCATACTGTGCAGCAGAGACATGTCCGACTCCTGTATTTGAACTTTCTGCAAGTACAAAAAGTATTAGTCACAAATATTGTATTTGTGTATGTAAAAAACTTGCAATGTCAATGAATATTTTGTACATGCTCTTGTTCACTTAACTGAACTGTAATATTTATGCAAACAACTGCTCAATAGTCATCTGATATTGCTTTCTAAACTGTGATGAGTATTTTCTATGATCTGATGATCATGGAGTAAAAATGTTATATAGGTAATGCTTGCATTATGATATACATGGTTTTATTCCAGCAATGCCTAATAACAGATATTACATTTACCTCTTACATTTATTACAGAATCTGTTTCTTTCACAATGATAGAAATTTAACGTAATTATATGGGATAACATGGGTTTCATTGTCAACAACTGAAACGGCCAGCACACAGACGTGTAATTGATTTGATATCTATATATGCCGCTTATAAAACCCCAACAGATTTATGCCATAAATTAGAAAGGCACCCGAAGTTATTACGTGTACTACTCACCCACATTTGCAGCTAGAATGGGCGTCAGTGAACGATTTGTGAATTCTGTCAAGGGACAAGTTGATTACATGAGGAGCTTCGGTTTTCCGTTGACTTCTATAAATCCTCCGCAAATCGACACGATATTATCACAACATGAATGGAAAATAACGGAATGAAGGTATGAGGCCGAACTAAAAGCCACTCCACGTTGTTTTTGCCGCAAAGTAGGTTCATAAGGCAAATATTTCGGACCAATATCATCGGGAATGTCTCTAAACGATATCACGACTGCCATTTTGACAGCTATGTTGTCGGACCTTTTGAGAGTTATCTCCCTTTCTTTTGGGGGCGTGGTTAACTCTCCACTGGCGATCCGTTAATTTGTCAAACGAATACGTGCACTGTGAGTAAGGTCAGTATTCACTCTCTTTCTGAAATGAATGTCAGCTTTATTCTTTTAAAAGATTACATTTAATAAATTATATCAACACCAAACCATATTGCCCCTATGATACTTCGTGACCTCGTGTTTCAGATCAAGCCTATTGCACGAAGAATGTTTTTTCGTAATTTGTATTAACAGTTTACAGCTTATATTATAGATGGGGGATAACTCTTCACAACTAATGAAAAAGGATTAACGGAGTTGTCTCTCTTGAATAAAACCAAGCACTTGATAGCTGGTCAAGGTTGTTTATACTAGAAATCCAATTAAACATATTCCTAAAATTCTCAATACTTTCTGGTCATACTATATTATAGATGTGTTATCTTACATTGGAGATATTTCAGAGTACACCCAGTTTTATTCGGATGTTACAACTGATGGCGTGTGTCATTATTGTAATAGTTGTTTTTATAAAAACTAACATTCTCTGATCATATCATCTATTTCCTGTAACTTCACTGAAACATCACTTCGCGGATTTCCTTTTTGCTGTAAATAATAACTCATTTATACATAACATGTGAACAGAGCTTGTTACACTTCCTTGCTTAGTTGTCCTTTAATATACTTAAACATTAGAGGAAAATATACTTACATAGAACAACAAGTGGGGCTCTGTTGACTGTACCAAGCACATGTAGCCAAGTGTCTTTGTCGTTGCCTGGAAAAATTGGGTACCTTAAGTGTTACGTTAATACCAGAAAAAAAGTACATTGTTAGAGAATGCATTTTATTATTTGCTGGATAATGTGTGTAAAGCAACAAAATATAAATGCCTTGCATATCTGTGAATTAGTAACACTATTTATAAGAAATCTCTGAAAAAGATCAGAAATTCTATAGAATAGTTCTATAGGACAGATGAATGTGTGAGTATGGCTTTGCGCCGCATTTTAGCAATATTCCAGCAATATCACGGCGGAGGACACCAGAAATGGGCTTCACACATTGTACCCATGTTGGGAATCGAACCCGGGTTTTCGGCGGGACGAGCGAACGCTTTAACCACTAGGTTACCCCATCGCCCCCATAGGAAAGATGAAGGAGTTTGTGAGGAAGGAAAGGCAGCTGAACGTTTTATTTGAATGTAAACTTATTTTGATATATTCTACTGCTTTTGCTTGGGGCGAGGCTTGTCTGTCACTGTAATGCATACATAACGTTTACAAGACATATATCGCCCTGCCTGTAAGGATGGTAAATTGCTTGTCGAATATACTTCATGGTTCAGATGTAGCCCACTTCTGGGCTTCTGGCTCTGGGTTAGAATTATTCTTCAGCAACCCATGGTTTTCGACCAATGAGATCAGGTCGTCAAACTCCCTGACTTGGTTGATGTCATCGTAAAGTGACCTATGGTCATGATGTCAATCACTGTATTCATTGTTTACAGGTAGATGTAATATAGCCCTAATATTGCCGAGTGCGGCGTATAACAACAAACCCACTTATATTTCAGTAATGAGGAAGAGGCATATTCATTACGGGGTTACTGGTAATGTAACTAACAGTAATTAAGAAATGTCAGACCGCCTGCGTGGTGTAGTGGTTAGAGCGTCCGCCCAGAGAGTGGAAATGAGCCTTACACATTGTACCCATGTGGCGAATTGAACCCGGGTTTTCGGCATGACGAGCAAACACTTTAACCACTTGGCAGCTCCACCGCTGGCAGCTCCACCATGTATGTATGTATGTACGTATGTACGTATGTACGTATGTATATATGTATGTATGTATGTATGTATGTATGTATGTATGTATGTATGTATGTATGTATGTATGTGTGTGTGTGTGTGTGTGTGTGTGTATGTATGTATGTATGTATGTATGCATGCATGTATGTATGTATGTACGTACGTGCGTACGTACGTACGTATGTATGTATGTACGTACGTACGTACGTATGTATGTATAGGGTCATTGAGTTATGTACTCGCTTGTGTTAATCTCAATTGGGGGTTCGATCCCCGACCGCGTCATACCAAAAGACGTTAAAATATGGTACTTGAAGGACTGGTCGGCTCGGAGTCAGTATAATATAATGTGTCTGAGTTGGCTAGCACTATAAACCAGCTTCAGTCTGGGCTAGTACAAGCAGCCGCACATACACATACACACGCATGCACGTCGTCATATGAGCAAAATATTCTCCAGCGCGACGTTAAACCCAATTTCACCTCACCTCATCTAAGAAACCACCTGTGACACTCGTAAACAAAAGGTTCTTAAAACAAGCAAATAATGGCTTGACAGGGTTTCTTATCATCTACGACTGTACCATGTATTCTCTACTGAAGAAACTTACCCATGGGATGCAACTGAATTACGATCCCCTGAAGTCTGGATAAATCCTCCTGCAAAGTCTTCACCTTCTGTTCATTTTGAGAGGCTTCCTTTTCCAGTGCACTGATTAGCTGGACGGTATAAATAAACAGAGAACTTTCAACATCTGAATATGTTCTTTACTATGACCATCGTTACTGATCTTGTTATTATGATGACACATAGGTTCAGTGACTTCCCTTTTGAAAGATTACATCACTTAAGATAAATAAAGCGTATTAAATGCATAAACATTAAAACAGCTCCCATACCTCCGGGTCTTCAGACTTTCTGCCATAGTTCAAAACATTATTACACAAAAAATATTTACCCTCTGAGCCTCTCTGTTCTGTGTCTGAAGTTCATCAATATCTGCTTCCAGTTTCATCTGAAGGCCTGTAGGAACATCAACTGCAGATATAGCCAAGAAATACACAGGGTACAATGCTAGTGGGGATTTAGACACGTTATTGTTATTCCAAAACCTGCTTTGATGGAACAGGAGTAACCCATTCATAGCATGTAGAATACAATTGGTTTTGAATAACATGAACGTAGACCGTAGTTAGATACGTCGACGTCGAAGGGACCTGCGTGAATACTTCGAGATAGCCGATGTTTGACAGAACCGATGAATTAAGAAAAATGAATGCATACACAGTGGAAAGGTTTTACTTCGAGACAACTATATGTTCGACACACAAATACTCTTTACTAAACATATACACACTTCTGACAAACACACTGCCAAGAAAATTACACGCACAACCATATCACTATAACTTTCAAATAATAGAAAGTATAAATGATTAGAAGATCTTACAAGATCACCAGATTCTGATTGAAAAGAACGTAAAAAGCCAAGCGACAGTTACCTGTTTTAAGTGATGCTTCCATAGGTGATTCCGTCTGGGTAACTGAAGTCATGAAACCACCAAAGGATGATACTAAGGATTTCAAAACCGGTAAACCTTGCTCTGAGAAGACGACACACGGTTCGTATTTGTGAACAGCTGGAACGTCAGCCTTTATACAAGACTCAAAGGCCTGTGTGATGGAACTCTTCACTTTGTGGAGGTGGGAAGGTGAGGCGTAGAGGAAACTCTCGTTGATGTAGTCAAGGACTGTCTGGCAGCTTGTCTCTGATGACGCCAGCACTCTTCGTCGACTGTCATTAATGTTCTTCATGGAGTCTAAAATCTGATCTAGCTCCACAAGCACCTCCTTCTCTCGCTGATTCACCACATCTCTCAGCTCAGAAAATGTGTGTTGAACTGTATCCCGGAGGGGAACGGCCTTCTCGTCAATACATCTTGCTTGTACAAGAACCGTTTCTTTTGCTGAAATGATCTTTTCCTTCTTCTCTGAAACAGATTTTATGTAAACCTTCAAGACGTCTTGTTCACGACTCAAGAACGTATCGGCTGTGTCGGTACTGTTACTGGCATGATCTTCATAGAAGCATTGCAAACAGATGAAACAGTCACAGTTTTTATCATAGATGTCCAAACGTTGTCCGTGTTTCTCACAGTCGGAATATGATCTTGTCAATGTACATGGAAGATCAGAAATCCACTTCATTGCGTGATTCCTAGTTGTTTTCACCTCTGAGTGAGATAAATTACAGTGCTCGCAGAAATATTCCTCACATTCCTGACACCAAGACATTGCTTGGTTTCCATCCACCTTGTTGGTACATTGGAAGTCGGACGGTCTGTGCTTCATTGTCTGGTTGAGGACGTCACCAAGTACAACATCGTCAATTGGGAAACTCCCGACATTTTTTATCATGACTCTTCAAGCAGACAGAGCAGTCCAGAGTTGTGACTTCTGGTGACTTGAGACAGTCCTCACACACAGGATGTAGACAGGGAAGCAGGTGCGGCTGTGGTCCTCTGTACCTGAAGGAGGTGCTGCACACCACACACTTGGGAAACACAGGGTCTGAATCCATCCTGTAACAAACACATCCATGACCTCTCATCATATTACAACTTGGAAGATGTATACGGATCTTTGTGGGAATTGTAAAATGGATTTCTCCTGAAAGCACACATTTTTAGTGGCTATGGAGTCGGTTTTGTGGCTAAAATATCTAAAGCGCCTATTCAAATGTTGACCTTGTGGTACGACCCAATGACGGATGCGAGCTACCCAGCCTACAAACTGTGTTGACTTTTGCTCTCATCGACTGCTTTGCATGATTCAGAGTAGATTATTTTCCAGACCTGATCAGGTTTGAGTCTGACAAATTTTGGGTTTGAATCCTGGTTTCCAGGTTCATCGGCACCACACCCATTCTCATGATTCTAACTACAATTGTAAATCACTGAGACCTGCATCACTACATGCTTTTCGCAAACATGACTGATTGATTGTTGGTTAACGCCTCACTCAGCAATATTCCAGCTATGTAGCCGCGGTCTGTAAGCAATCGAGTCTGGACCAGACAAACCAGTGATTGGCATCATGAGCATGGATCTACGCAATTAGGATACGATGACATGTGTCAACTGTCAAGATCACAATTGGTATAATGTATGTTATATTCTATATTTGAGGTGTGATAGATTTGGAGTGAGGACTTGCAAGCTGCTGTAAGCAGTGAGCGATTGTCTATGTTGGAGGCAGGGGCGGATCCAGAAGGGGTAGCGTGGATGCAATTTCCCTGAGGAGCATTTCCCCTTATCCTGGATCCGCCCCTGGGGTGTGTGCAGTGTTGCCACCAGTTGGAAAGTGTATGTGCGTGTCAGGTTGGCTGGTTTTCCTGTATATTCGACTGGTGTTAGTATCATATTATATTTTTATATGATTTAGTTAGAATGTGTCAATGAATTGTTTACATTATATACATTGAGATTAACGGCATATCACCTTAAAATATGTAACCTTATCTCAGGTAAAATAATTATATTTCTTATTACTGGTGACATTATTAATATGATGGAATTGTAATCTTCATGATATTATGTTATAATGTAACTGAGGCAGTGTACTGGCGTAAAGACAATCGTCAGTCAGCAGGTCACGTGTATATAGTGGTAGTGCTGTGTATCAAGTATCAGTAAAACAGCCCTGTAGACATATCCTGTGTATGTGAAATATATGTGTATGTTAAGATGTCCAAATAGTGTATGCGTAATGTCACCAGGTACATGGTGTGCTTTATATATCCAGTGTCCCGGGTAGGTGATACACCACGTAAGGCTGTCCCACCGTTCGACTGGGATCGACCCTGACATGCCGCACGTGAAGTTGGACTCTGACATCTGAGTGTCTGGGGATAGTGACATGCGCTCCTGTAAAGCTGACCCAGCTTATCATACCGACAGGCCGCCTACTGTGTAAAGTACACAGGATTAAGTGGCCAAGTGTTTTCATATCTATATGCAGGAGAAGGACTCATCAACTACCCCATCTGAACTGACTGTAAATTCCACATGTGGTCATATATCAACATCTTCAGTGTTTGTGTACAGTACACTATTAATTTGTGCTTTCGATGCATTTAGTCTGTATACTTCATTCAATGTGTATATACTATAATGATATCAAATGTTGTGTGTTTCTTTAAAAAGACACGATGATGTGTATTGTTGTGATATTCTGAGTGTTGATGTGAGTGCATGTGAGTGTATGTGAGTGTATGTAAGTGTATGTGAGTGTATGTGAATGGTGAGGTATGAGGTAGGTGCTTGGCTGAGAAGGAGAAAGGAAATGAGTGTGTTTGATGATTGTGAGGATGAAGTTGTGCGTGATAGCATATATGAATTATTGCAAGCAAGGCAGATTTAGTTAATAAATTTTATTAACTTTTCATTTGGGGTTTGTGTTTTCTCAAGTATGTGACGTCAACCAAGCATGGGGTTGCAAGACTCGCCAGTTTTAGAACAACATCAAAATCATGTGTAACTTATTACTTGTATTATCCGCACGTCGATTCCCCACATGGGTGCTATGTGTAAAGCCCATCTGTAGTGTCCCCCGCCTTAATATTGCTGGAATATTGCTAACAGCACCGTAAAACATGCCCACTCACTCACTCTTACCTATATTTATATTATAATTGTGCTCACATTTGGGAATGTGTAAAATATGAATTAATGAAAACGCATGTGATCTGCTCTGTCACAGTATTTAGATTAAAGATTACATTCAGCTTACCTCGCAATGCACCGGGTCAGTCAGGAATGTATATTGTGTTGAGTCGTGTGTACATGTTGAGTCAGATATGAACTGTTGAACGGTATCTCAGGGTGATAGCATTATAAAACGGACATAAGTCCGAACTGGTCCACGTCGCATTTTAGTGCAGGCATATTGATAGCGACCTCAACCCCATTTCACATACATCGCATATCTAGCAACTGGCTCAATGGCGCTGGGTCTGTCTCAGTGTCGACCCGCGTCGATATCCGGCTTGAAATTATTAAGTACAAAAAACAACATGCACTTGAACACAAACAGCAGCCTGAACCGCCCATACAAAGACCCAGTTTGGAAAACAAAAGACAGATACAATATCACTGAATGTAATACGAATATAACAGTTCGCTAGCTTGAAGTTAGTTCCTATTTCCTGGAATCGACAGTGAAAATAGGAATAGGTGTTTCATCGAGAAATGTGTGCATGATAATGTAGATATAAACACACATTTTATCTGACAGTCCATAGTGACTGAGCATCATATTCGTATCACACACAAAGATGTTAATATTCCCTTTTACCTGAATAGCAGCTCAGGAGAGATCTACCCACACAACGACAAAACTCGTGACATGACTGCAATGTTGACTGTGCGCTCGGCAATAGAGTAACCTCCCTTGAATAACTTCCTTACGTGCCTTGAATAGTGACACGTGTTAGCAGTTAGTGAACGAAGCATTGTAAAATATCAATGTGACAAAGAGTAGAACAACGCCTTGCCGAGAGGTGAGTGAGTGAGTATGTTTGACGCCGCTTTAAGCAATATTCCAGTAGTATCACGGCGGGAATACGAGAGGCTTTAACCACTAGGCTACACCACCGCCCCTTTTTAACCGAGAGGAGGTCATGGAGTGGCTTCTTACTTTAGCTGTAATACAGCGAGGTCTACGAGAATTTCCCTCACATGCTGTACCAGGGTGGACGTATGTATTTAGTGTGGCAAATGAATATAGATTGTTATTTATTGTTAGTTTGTTTTCTCAATATTAACAGTTTTAGTCAATAGCAGAACATGACAGTTTGTCAACCCGCTTAAATATTCACAGCTGCTTATAAACAAACTCAAGTATGTTTCTATGAACATAATCGACATCAGAACAAATGTTAACCAACTCCAAAGAAAAATCCTGTGTTATTAAAAAACACGAACATAAAATACGAAGATGAAACATTTATTGCAAAGAGACAAAAAGGAATGCACATTCAGTTCAATATAATATTGTAAGCGATCGAAATTGTGGACAATATGAAGAGAATGTCATTCCGAGATACGAGTAATCCTATGTTATATGCAATATGTAGTAATATGTTTTTACGTTCTGTGCATTTCAAACTTATATGGGCCTTGAACATATAGGGACACAATACGTCACAATATAAAATCGGGCTATAGATCGCCAACAACTGAAGGTAGATCACCATACTAGGGATCATGGGGACTTACATTACTTTTGCTACCTACATGAGCCCTAGCTGGATTTATACCATCCCCTCAGCCGCTGGCGATGGAAGGGAATTTAGCCATAATTTAAAATAACAAATATTCTACGTTTAAAAAGCATGGTTGAACTAAATTGACTTTGAAAGTTTTGGGACTTACGTATCCTCTCAGGAGGACAATAATTTTACGGTACTTTAACCCCCTTTGAGGATACAGCCACTAACAATCGCAGTTTGCTAATTTATACTACCATTGATAATAAATGACATTTATCTATTTACAAAACATATTGTTCAAAATTTATCTAATAATTCAATTTCTTTTAAAAATACGATAATTATATGAGAATGTACATTATAAAAAAGATCCTTCATTGTTTTGACACTGAAATATTTATCCCTTGTGATGGAAAATCAATACAGTCAAGCAGGACATGCTTGACTGTGATTCCCCATCACAAGGGATGCAAAATGGAGGATCCTCCTGGAGGATGTATGTATGTATGTATGTATGTATTATGTATGTATGCATGCATGTATTATGTATGCATGTATGTATGCATGTATGCATGCATGTATTATGCATGTATGCATGCATGCATGTATGTATCTATGTATGATATATAAACTAACGGGCAAGAGAAACTTATCACTTTTAAAATAACGTTTGCGCAATTACAGATACTGCCATTAAGTGAAATGTTTTCAGAAAACATTCGCCAAAACACATTCTGTGGTCGAGTACCAAGGCATAAGTCAATGATTAAGTGAATTTCGTGCTGGCATGACAAATTCCCAAAACAGCATAAATGGACCTTGTATAAAATACACGTAAACAATTGTTGCATAAACACAGGTGTGGAACAGTGCAACCATGTAGTATCAAAAAGAACATCACAGAAATGCCGAGACTTTCACAAGCCGAACGTGACAGAGTCATTGGTATGGCAGAAATGGGGGACTCACAACGTCACATTGCAAGCGTCTTCATTGCAGCCAAGCAATCATCAGCAACTTGTTGAGCCGTTACCAAAAGACAGGCCAGACACTATACCGGCCAAGAATAGATAGTCCAAGGGTTACCACACCAGCTGAAGACCGCTACATCCGGACAATACACCTGCGGAACAGATTCGTCACGGCGACGTCAACGGCGGCGACAGCCTTGGGAGACCCCATCGGCAGACAAACCGTACTGCGACAGACAGAGAGACAGACAGACAGATTATTTTATTACAGTCTCACTTGTTTTACATCTTTTTTCAGCCGTTAACAGTGTACACATGAAAGCATGTAGTAACAACCAATCGCGCAGTGATTTATGAGAGACTTACAATAAAGGTACAATAAAAAATACAGCAAGAAATAGTAAAATGTATATAGTTGCGGTATGAACAATATGTACATTTAAATAAAGAAGATACGTATATATTTACATATAAAGAATGCTTCTTCGTTTTGTTAAAATGTCATGGCAGGTTTTGGCAGTGTAAAAAGTGAGATGCGGACATGATAAAATACGACTAAACATCTGGTCCTTATTTAAAGTGTCTAAATCAGGCCACTTATCCCTGCTAGCAGTGATGAGATTTTTGCGCCCTTCGTTATAAAGTGGACAGTTTAAAAGAACGTGTGCTTCATCCTCGACACAGTCTGCACAGTTAAAACAAACTCTCCTCTCGACTGGGGTGTTTTCACCACTTCCTGTCTCGATTCTAAGGGGCGCAAGTCCGCATCTGAATTTTGCTAGTGAACATCTCTGTGCTCTTGATATCGGGATTCGAACATACGGTTCTGGGGCGTAAGTGGTCTTAAGGGTTCTGTATGATCGAAGGTCGTTTCCACCCAACCCTTGGCGTGCTGTATCTGATTGTAATTTCTTCTCCCACTCTGACACGTAACTTTCAAAGGAGACATAATGTACAAGTTTTAGTAACAGGATTTTTTCAATGGGAGTATCTGGGCTGAGATATTAAAGTTGATGTTCTGTAGATAGGACTTAATACGAAGATTCCAGTTCTTTTTGGTGGATGATTCTGCCCATAGAAATATCCTTTTGTTTATTCGTCTTGTGCTTGTGTTCCACATTCTCGCCCATCGTGTTGCAACGCTTGACCACCGTCTCACCTCTGGGGGGATCCATCCAGAGTCTCCATTCACCGCAATATTGGGTGCATAGTTCACATGTCTAAGATGGAACCGTATCGCTCTATGGTGGACAGCGTTCACACAAGAGTGTGACGACGACGACGACTCCGTATGGCTGGCATCAGAGCTCACCATCCCTTTCGTGGAATGGCCTTGACCCGTCAACACTGTCAACGCAGTATACAGTGGGTTTCGAACTGTACGTCGGTGGCAGCGACGTGGATTGGGAGAGAGTTCTGTTTTACAGACGAGAGTCGATTCAACATGTTCCGAAATGTTCGTGTTTACAGACGTAGGGGTGAGCGACTGGCGCCAAACTGTGTACAAGAGGTGCACCCTTTTTGGAGGAAGCGGTGTCATGGTATGGGGTGGGATTTGTGGTCAGCAGATAACACGATTTGTCATCCTTCATGGCAATTTGACTGCTCAAAGAGACGAAGTCTTGAGACCAGTGGTGTTACCATTTGTGCGTCAACAGCCGAGGCATTTGATCTTGCAACAGGACAATGCACGTCCGCTTACTGCCAGGCTCTTACATGACTACCTCAACAACGTGAACATCATCTTATTGCCTTAGCCAGCACGATTTCCGGATATGAATCCGATAGAGCATCTCTGGGATCATCTTGATAGACAGTAGAGACAACGGCAACCTCCACCAGCAAATCCACAGCAGCTCGAACAAGTTTTCTTGGATCAGTGGCACAGAATTCCTGCTGACGTCATCCGGCGACTAACGTCATCCATGAGGAGACGTGTTTTGGCATGTATAGATTCAAGGGGTCGAAAAACACGCTACTGAAGGTTTGGACAGTTCCATAATGTGACTTGAAACATCTTGTGAATGATCTGTGATCGGGTAACATGTCATTTTGACCCCACGTCTCTTGTGCTTGATTCCGTGACCTGGTTACTATCGATTGGACATTGGTGATTCTATTTCATGCTTGGTAAATGGTTAAATGTCGTATAATAAACAATATTTCTATTATATATGTCTTGGTGTCTTCTTTATGAGCCACAACATCAGGTGATATATCTTTTTAGCCCGGTAGTTTATGTGGAATATATATACCAATTGTTCTATATATAACCACTACATGGATGGGTGCTGTGCTCCGTGTGTGTGTGTGTGTGTGTGTGTGTGTGTTACGTGACATGACATAAGGGTATATATACCAGTTGACCTCTCTGTGTGTGTAATGTGACAAGATATATATGGGGTATCTTTACCAATTGTTGTAATTTTACCCATCATGTGGATGGGTGCTCTGTGCTGGGTGTGGATGTTTTACAGAAGTGTTATAGCATATCAGTATCAGCTTGTGCCATCTAAGTGAGGCTACAATTGCCAGTAGGGGTCGACAAGGATCAGTCCCAGGCTCTATGCTTTAGCTCCTCTTTTCAGGTACACGTCGAGCTACAATACAAGATGTGCACTGACAACATGAACTGAACCTACGAAAGATGATATTGTAGCAAAATGGATTATACTCCATGTTGCCGTACCTTGTGTTCTGGGGTGTCGGGGGCTGACCAGCTGGTGTCCGAGTGTTGATGCTTCCAGGAAGTTGGAGGTAGTGGATTCGACTCTTTGATTTGGGCAAGAAGAAAGCTCGCGTTGACGAGCCTTCGCGAAGAAGCTACAAAAACGTCATGAGCATTGCGTATATAATTCATAGGCAGAGATTTCTTAAGATTTTTGGTGTGTTTCCACGGGATTCTCTGATATCCAGTTTTGTTAATATGTGTCAGAGAGGGTTTTGGCTACTCAACATCTCATTCAAGAACACAACATGGAATGGGAGTATAAACTTTATATTATCCATACATAGGATATATATCTGATTCAGCAAACATATTGATATTATATGACAACCATTTAAAGGGCCACTGAATTTGCAAAACACAAAACAACAAAAACGATGGTTCCTTCTTTTATTGACAATTTCTTCTCGAAACGTAACATGATTGTATTAACATCCGAAATAGTAATCTGCAGATGCACCATAAAACATGT